TTGTTTGGGGAGTCTAGGATTTAGCTAAGTATTATGTCAAAGGACTCTCCTTAGTGGAATCTGACTTGAATGAGATTAAGTTTAAAGTGCATGGCTGCTCATCCTTGGGACTGCTTAAGTAGCTTGTCCAAAGCGGGTTGGGTTCACTCTGGCCTTGTGCTTCAATAACAGCAGCCATCGGATCTGCCACTTGAGAATTGAGATTCTAAATAGGGCACTGGGCTGGCAGCTGTATGGACATGACCTCATTTAGTTTTCTTCCAAAATCCAGGAGTGTGTGTGTGAGGGACACTGAGATTCCTCACATTTCAGAGGGCTCTGAGGTGTACCCTGTTTCTGCTCTCACACTTTTTTGTTATACTTATAGTCCAGGAGGAACTTGGATAACATGGTAAGCTCTCAAGCTTAGCAAGAGGGTATCAAAACAAGGGCCACAGAGGCCACATTTCCTGGGGGCAGCTTTCCCTGAATAATCTCCTCTTCTCACACCCAAATTAAGTGGGGTTCTCTTACTTTTTAAAAAAACAATATACAATTCATTTCTAGCACTCAGCAGTTTGTGATTATTTATTCACTGCATGATTGCGGGGTGGTTCTGCTTCCCTATTAGACAGTAAGCTCTATGAAGGTGAGACGTGTTTCTTTTCCTTTCCATCCCACAAAGACCAGTGCCTGGTACACTGCATGTATTCAAAAAGCATTATTGTGCATGAAAATGATATTTGTCTTTCTGCTGATATTCTAGACATAAACTGAGGCAAGGGTCAGAATGCCATGGGAGGGAAACTGGCAGTTCAGAAGGTTCTGGAAGCAGGTGAAGTGCCATGGTTGTCACAGTGTAGAGAAATGAGCCAGCTGGGAAGAATTCTTGATATTAGACAGGGAAAGACTCCTAATGAAAAGTGAGGCATCTCTGATAAGTAAATAACCTGAGTTTCCTGCCTGGTTTTGTGATTTCATGTTTGCATGTTTTATGGCTCTGTGTATATTTCTTTCCCTGACTAGTTGGTTTGAAATATCATGAAGGGGTCTGAGGATAAACACACTATTTCAGAGAAACTATCATCCTTGATTTTAAGAGAGTGATTTATGGAGAGGCCAAAGCCAATTAGGACTGAGCATACTTATTATGATACCCTTGGTTGATGTTTTACAGTTGAGTTTTCAGATTAGTTGATTCTCATAGATGTAATGTGAAGTAGACAGCTCTGAATCTTGGCCTCAGGTTCATAGAGGAATAAAGGGATACTCAGAAGAAGTTGATTTATCCAAGGTAAAGTGAAAACAAGTTAACATTTTGAGTGCTTACTATGTGCTAAGGCATTACACTAAGCCCTTTATATTAAGTATATAATATAATCCTCATCCTATCTCCATGAGATGAGTAGTCATTACTGCTATTTCCATTTTACAGAAAAGAAAATTGAGAGTTGGAGGATTKGGGTTGTGGCTCAGTGGTACAGTGCTCGCCTAGCATGCATGAGGCCTGGGTTCGATCCTTGGCACCACATAAAAATAAAAAATAAAGATATTGTGTCCACCTAAAACTAAAAAAGAAATATTAAAAAAAGAAAATTGAGACTTGGAGATCAAATTATATAACTAAGAAAAGAGAACCAGGCTTCAAACCCAGCTAGTCTCAGGAGTGCAAATGGTAAACTGCTTTGCTAATGAGCAGCATTGGGGGATCTCCAATGAAGGATATGCTTTGTTATTTGGATTTACTCTTGTAAATTTACTCTTTTTTTTTTTTTTAAAGAGTAAGAGAGGAGAGAGAGAGAATTTTTTTTTTTTTTGAGAGAGGAGAGAGAGAGAGAGAGAGAGAGAGAGAGAATTTTAATATTTATTGTTTAGTTCTCGGCGGACACAACATCTTTGTTGGTATGTGGTGCTGAGGATCGAACCCGGGTCGCACGCATACCAGGCAAGCACGCTACCACTTGAGCCACATCCCCAGCCCGTAAATTTACTCTTTGTGGCCCTTGTTTTGATACCCCCTTGCTAAGCTTGAGAGCTTACCATGTTATCCAAATTCCTCCTGACACCTGGATCAATTCTTCTATTTCAGGCAGTTTAAAACCTGTTTGCAGTTTCATCTTGACTTAGAATTGATCGAATGGAGGACACAGTGACGTCACCACAAGTGATTGAAATTATATCAACTCAGTTCAGATTAAAAACCTGAACCCTAATTTTTTAAAAATTGAAAATTGTTAGCTTTCCATCACTGTGACAAAACACCTGAGAAAATCAACTTATAAAGAAAAAGGTTTGTTTTGATTCCTGGTTTTAGAGGTTTTAGTCCATGGTCTCTTGGTCCTGTGGAGGCAGCATATCATAGCAAAAGTATGTGGTGGAGGAAACTTGTTTACCTCATGACTGCCGGAAGCAAAGAGCAAGAGGAAAGGGCTAGCATTCCAGTACCCCTTCAAGGACATGCCCCCATGACCTAACTTTCTACCACTATGTCCTAACTTCTAAAGGTTCCATCACCTCCCAATAGTGCCACAAGCTGGTGACGAAGCCTTTAGCATATGGGCCTGGGACGGGGGTGGGGTGGGGGTGGGGGGGGAGTTTATTTAAGATCCAAATCTTAACAAATACATTTACTAATGCTATATTTTTATAGGTGTTTATCACCTAATAACCACAGGACACATTTTATTGAATATATTGAAAAAACTTGTATATTTCTCTGAAGGTGTACCCAAAATGATTAAGAAGCATAAAAAAATCTGTCCATGAATATATGTAATTATTTGAGCTCTTTTTACACCATTAGCTCTTCAGGGAGATAATCACAGTGACCAGCATGTTTTGGACCTTCTGTAGATCCAAGTCTCTCTCCCCATGGGTTCTTTATACATTGGCTTTGTAATTGAAAAAAGAACATGGAAATGCTATATTTTATAGCTTCAAAGTACAACAACAAAAAGCCCTCTCTTGGATACCTAGCTAGGAAAGTAACCCAGCTAAAATTTTGGGCCGGTGACAGAGCTAAGATGCAGGCTAGACACCTGAGATAAGGGAGAGGGTATCATTTATGGGTCTTTTGAATATCACTGACTGCATTTCAAAGTCACATTAGAGAGGGTATTGGCTCATATTTGGCTTGTGTGTGTGTGTGTGTGTGTGTGTGTGTGTGTGTGTGTGTGAGTGTGTGATTCTTTATACCTTTCCCCTCCCCATTATGGATAACCGAAGTTTTAATATACAGTAGTGACATTCTAGTAGATGAAGGAAGGGGGCAGTCCCAGAGGGCAATCTGAACTTCTGCTTAGTATATTTACTCTTGCTGTTTTCCTTCCTCCTCATTTGTAATTCAGGAGGCTCTCTGACAAGAGACAGCAAGCCTTCTTAGATGGATGGAAGAGCCTCGAGCTGGGATACCAAGCTGTATGAAAAGGTCGGCTATGGTATTTGCTGTTACCTTTAGGCAAATCATTTGATCATGCTGTGCTTTGGGTTCTTCCTGTGCTTGCTAAATGTAAATAACATGTATCTGTGCATTTTGTGGTTATCAGTTATATTTTAAGTGTGTGGGTGATTTATGTTTTTCTAGGCTGGCTGCTCAGGTATAAAGCAAAATCCACTCCTTTGCAATGACAGGCTTTGTCAACCCAAATCCTTCAGACTTGTGCTGCCATCTATTTGCTTCAAATTCATCTGACATATTTGGCCATCTTGAAGCTATAATTAGGCAAGAAACTATAACTGGGGCATACCTTTTTGTCTCCTTTGTCTTCAGAAACGAAATATGTCATTTTATGTGCTCCTGTTGCTTTGTAGCTCTCTCCCCTATTGGGAGAGAGCAGCTTTATCTGTGACACTGATCCCAAGAGATGGGAAAGGTGACCCAGGAGACAAACTGAGTTATTTGGACTTGCTACCATAGTTCCTTTTAAATGTTTTGGGCCAGGTACAGTCTGTTACAATTCTCAGCAGCTAATAGAAGAGTTTGTGGGTAAAGAAATTATTTTGTTCCCCATCTGTGGGTCACTACCCCACTTTTTTATAAATGAAAATCTCTGAAGTGAAATAGGAAATCAACCAAAAGATTTGTTTCTTTTGCTTTGAACTAAAATGAAGAGTATTTACATAATTCCTGGTGCAAATGAAAAGCATTCTCCAAACAAACCTGGGAAGGTGTTATTAGAGGGCCTAGGAAATGTGTTACTCCTTAGTTGTTGCTCGGGAAGCAGCAGGAAGAAGTTCAGACACAGGAACACAGTGTAACTTTTCAGTTTTGAAATATTAGGTCTCCTTGTCCTATAAACATCAAAGCAACATCCGGGTCAATCTCCCAGAGCTGAGATCGCTCCAAGTGTTGAGTCCAACTTCCGTCTGTTACTTATAGGGAGCAAACTTGGGGTGTTTCATTCTTGGGCAAGGCTCATCAATTCCGCACATTGCTTCCTTATGGTTGCTCCAGCTACAGAAGCTTCCAACAAAGGCAGAGCTTTCTTTCACTCTTGCCTCTTAGGAACACGTAGCCAAGGCTTGGGGAACCCTCACGCCGGTGGTGTGGTGGGAGTGAGAGCAAGGCAAAGGTTGGTCTTTCCCTCTAAATGCCCTGCTTTGCAGCTACTGCCAATTAGGGTGGAGTTTGGGGAGTGGGAGTCTCGGTTGTCGGCCCTAAACTGGAAACTAGGCAGCTGACGCAGAAACAAGAACTGGCAGCGTTTGACTCTGCGAAGGCCCAGGGAAGGGTCGAGACTGCTCATCCTGGGGTCTGTCTGTACAACCAGGTCAAAGTCCTGCCGTGGGGTGGGATGAAGGGCCCAGAGGTTCTGTGAGCACCGCCTGGGAGAGGAGGAGAGGCTTCGGTTGAAGCCTCTCCGCCATTGCGCCGAACGCCTGCAGCCCCAAGGCAGACGCGCGCGCCAGGCGAATGCGCGCCTCTTTGTCCCGCCTCCCGGCCGGCCCACACGTTGAACGCAAGGAGCGCGCCCGGAGAGAACGCGCCCCAGTCGAGCGTACGTGCTCCGGCTGGAAACTAGCGCCGGCGGCGTTGGCGTTCCGCGGGCGGAAGGGAAGGGGGAGGTGAGAAGGCTGAGCGCCGGCCGCTCCTCCCCCCGCCACTCCCCGCCTCGGCCCTGAAGGGGCTGGATGGGCAAGTTGGACGCGATGGCTCGAGCCCGGGCGGCGGCGGTAGTGGCTGGAGGCGGCGGCACCTCCTCCTCCTCGCCCCGGCGCCGGCGGTGATCCGAGCGAGCGGCCGCGGCCCCCGATGAGACTGTTGGTGGGCTGGCTGTGCCTGAGCCTGGCGTCCGAGTGGCTGGCGCGGAGGATGTGGACGCTGCGGAGCCCGCTCTCCCGCTCCCTGTACGTGAACATGACGAGCGGCCCGGGCGGGCCGGCGGCGGCCGCGGGCGGCAGGAAGGACAACCACCAGGTACGGCCGGGGCGCGGGCGGGGGCGTGGCGGCCCGGCCTTCCCGCGCTCGGCCCGGCTATTGTGCGGGTGGTGCGGCCAGGGGTCGGCCCGGAGATGCCCTGCGGCCCCGGCCTCTCGGAAAGTTTTCCCCGCCGGGCGCCAGCCCCAGCTCCGGCCCCGGCCCCGGCCCCGCTGCGCCTTTTGTTCGGCGGCGCGGGCGGAGGACGGCCTCCCCTTCCCCCTCCCGGGGGCCCGAGCGTGGGCGCCCCGGAGCCCCGCTTTGTCCCCGGGTCCCGGGCGGCCACCGCGGACGTTCGGCCACTGGACTGGAGGAACTTCGCGGCTGGCGCATGGCCGGGGGCACCCATCTGGCATCGAGGCCCGAGAAAGAAAGACCCGAGTAAAACCATTACCTCGGACAACCTTCCCAACCCCTGGGAAACAAAACGAAAAGCCGGTTCCTCTTTTTGTCTGGTGGAATCCTTCAACATACAAAGGGTCGTAAAGAAATTTAGCCGTGCACCGTGAGCCGTTCGGCTGACATTTCCCCTAAGCCCTTAAAAATGTATTTGACAGGTCCCTGCTCCCTGTCTGCAGAGCCCTCCCCTCCCGCCTAAGAGGCGTCTCCTTTAAACTTCAGTTTAGTTAGCTGACCGGAAAGATTGGGATCAAGAGGAAGATGATGCAAGCTTTTACGGAAGGGTTTTAAAAACAACTGGGCAGGAGCGAATTATTTTAGGAGTTGTTAGTTGGTGGATCATGAGCGATACGATGTGACCGGCTAGGTGGTCTTTTTGTTAGCTCATTTTTGTGCCACTTAGCAGAGTATGTGTGGGTCAGCTGTAGAATTAAGAGGGAGATATTTCATATTTGACCATGTGGTTGGAGGTTCACCTTGCATTCATTGAAAAAGAGGCGTTTGAACTCTGCCAAAGTTTTGGCTTATTATAATACAGCATTGATATAATACCTTTTGCCTTTCCAGGGAGCAGTAACTGATGATTTTCCTTATCATTTTGTGCCTCATCATTTTCATGTATTTCTCATTTTCCTGTGTACTATTATACCAGGTGTTCAGAGAATTCAGACCCAGGTTGGTTTTGTGTGTCTTAATGAATGTAAAGAATTGTCTAAGAAACAGATAAAGCAATTTATTCATAAAAGTAACATTTAATTTTTATTATTAACTACTTCTCGTAGCTTTTTATTTATTTAATATGCTGGGGATGGTACCCAGGGCCTCTCTGGCAGGGTGTGAGTGCCGCTGCCACTTAGCTTTTTCCCCCTATTTTTAAAGGAATTGTAAATTTCTATAATTTTTTTTTTTTGAAATCTCCCAGTGCTTGCAGTGTGGTAGGTGATCACTCCTATGATATTGTTGGAGTGTGTGTAAACTTAATACACAATCTTAAATTATAAAACCACATTTATTGCCATGGATTGATTACTTAAACTAGTTCATTCCTGTAGAAACAACTCTAAAGTACTATTCTATTAACTGTTCAGCTATGGGAGAAGCACATCCAGATGGAACATGGATAATGGTGTAGAACAATGAATTAGAAATGTCATTTTTAACAAGCATTTGATAGAAAGAAAGTCCTGGAAAGGAAAAAAATACACTTTTTTTCACTTAACATGGAATTATGGTTGAGTCTCTTAGTCCGTATTTATGACAACACTTATGATTACTGCAGCACCATATGTTTTCAGTGCTCATAAAAAAATAGCACTTTTTTTAAAAATTGAAATACTGTTTGTATAAACTGTGATTTTTATGGAGCCTAGAAAAGAATGATAGCTGTTTACATGGCTTCAATATCTCCCTACAGAGAGTATTTTCTAATTGTGAACCTTTTTAAAGCTGAATGTGTCAGACTCTAACAAAAACTAATACTGGTTTCAGATACCGCATTTACTTTATTGTGTTTCTGAAATACTCAAAAGTGTGTGTGTGTGTGTGTGTGTTTTAACCAGTTGCATTTACAACTTGGCAGATAATTTCTCCAGGGTGAAGACTAATCCTATGCTTTCTAAATACTTAGGGAGGATCAACTCTTCCTTAGAATAATGAATCCAGCCATTATTTTGAGATGAATACATTCATGTTGTGAAAATATAATTGTCCATGAATAAAGATTAAAATGAACAAAAGTAAAATGTGTATGGAAACCACAGTGAACTAAAGGAAAGTAGGTGACTGTTCTTTCTGTGTCATGGCTGAGCTGATGATTTGTTATTCCTTTTATGTTCCAGACCCTAGGTTTGCCTCATGACTTTGCTTGTGAAGTAACTTTACTCTGATGGTTTCCCCCTTCAAATTAATAGTTTTATACATGGTCTTCTGGTGTTCATTTGGGCATGTGGGTTCCACAGCCAGCCACATCTGGTTCTTCTGGAGTTGCATGAAAGCAGGAATATGGATTTGATTGACCCATACTTAGTGCAAGTTTTCCTTCTAGTTATTTTACTAAGGAATTATGATGGAAAATTTTTTGGTTAGAGAGAGAGGTCTTGGGTAATATTTATTTATTAAAAACTACTATTTAGTTAATATAGCCTGGAGCTAGAAGGCTCTGTTGGGCCAGGCCAAAGCAGCTCTAAAACTATGGTAGCAGCACCACTTTTAATAATTTGGTTCAGTGTGCTGGCTTCAAAATTGGGATTATGTTTCACTTTGGGCCAGTGAGAAACAGGGCTTCTCTTTGAGAAGGGATATGGCCCACAGGCCAAATTAGTCTCATTGATTTATTATTTAATTTTATTTTTTTAGTTGTTTGACACAATACCTTTTATTTATTTATTTATTTATTTATTTATTTTTTATGTGGTACTGAGGATCAAACCCAGTGCCTCACACATGCTAGGGGAGCACTGTTCTGCTGAGCCACAACTCCAGCCCCATCTCATTGATTTTTACATAATTATGAAGTAAGAATAGTTTTAAAATGGTAACCAAGAAAAAAATACTATTAAATAATGAGAGAATTTTATATGTGAAATTCAAATTTCAGTGTCTGCACATAAAGTTTTATTGAAACAGAGCCACCATTTAGCTTACCTATGGTCTGTGAGTGCTTCTGGGCTACAGCAATTGAGCTGAGTAGTTGTTACTGTATGACTCACAGTCCTTCAATATTTACTATCTGTCCCTTTACAGAGGAAAAAAAGTTTCTTTTAAAAATTTATTTTAATTGTTCCAATTAGTTTTACATGACAGTAGAATGCATTTTGATATATTGTACAGGAATAGAGCACAACTTCTCCTTCCTCTGGCTGAACATCATGCAGAGTCACACCAGTAGTGTAATTATGTGTATAGAGTAATATAATGTCCATCTCATTTCACTGTCCTTTCCATCCCCATCCTTCTCCCCTTCCTTCACTCTCCTCTGCACAATTCAAAGTTTCTTCATTCTTCTCCATCCACCCTTAGCAAGGGTAGGTATCACAATACCAGACCTTAAACTATATTACAGAGCAATAGTAACAAAAATGGCATGGTGTTAGCACCAACATAAACATGTAGACCAATGATACAGATTARAAGACACCTAAACCTACATAAATACAGTTTTCTCATACTAGATAAAGGTGCCAAAAACATACATTGGAGAAAAGATAGCTTATTCAACAAATGGTGCTGGGAAACTGGAAATTCATATGTAGCAAAATGAAACTAATCCCTATCTCTCACCTTACTCAAAAATCAACTCAAAGTGGATCAAAGACTTAGGCACTAGAACAGAGAGACCCTGTGCTTATTTGAAGAAAAAGTAGGACCATATCTCCACCATGTTGTTTTAGGAACTGACTTCCTTAAAAAGACTCCTAAAGAATAAGAAATAAAATCAAGAATTAATAAATGGGATGGATTCAAACTAAAAACCTTCCCAGCAAAGGAAACAATAATGTGAAGAGAGAGCCTATAGAATGGTAGAGAATCTTTACTACACACACCTCAGAACACTAAAAAAATTTTTTTCCCAGATTCCTTAATCAGCATCATATTCCCAGTCCCTGGTGGCAGAGTGGCTAGATTGTCTCATTGGGGAGAGGCAGTGAGAARTAGAGCCAGGTAGTGAGGAACTAGAAGGAATCACATTTTAATGTTGGTAGACTCTGAACTTAAAAATAAAACAACAAAAAACTTTGGATCTAGTCTTTTTGATGCCTCACAGCTAGTGCTTAAAGTTAATGCAGTTATTAAGGGGCTATAGAAACTTGAAAGAAACTTTAAGACTCCACTAACTAGATTCTTGATAATAACAGCCATTCACAGCTTCTCAATTGGTGGAGTGGAAAAAAATGTTATAAAATTTCTCCAGGTGATAAACTGCATTTTTAAGCACAGATAGCATTCATATCAGAAATTGTTTAGATGTAACTTAAAATTGCAAATATCTGTTAACCTCAGAAATATGTCATGCTACACTTGATAATAGATTCAAGATAGAATTGAAATAATTTTTTTTCCAAATGAAAAAATACTTGGATTCATAGCCAGAGTTTAATGTTGTGCTAAAGGACAGATTTGGTTTCCTATCCCGTGCCCTCAAGTACCTTGTGGAGGCTGGTTGAAGTCAGGCATGAGTTAACAGTGCTTCAGGGCGTTAGCCAGCCAGCTGGACACTGATGGATTGGTGTCCACCTCTAAACTGCCTTCCAAAGTCTGGAGGCTTTGTAGCCTAGCACCAGAGAGTCTCTGGAAAGGGTTTCTTTCCTTCCTCATAACCTATGTTGAAACCCTAACCAAATGTTTGCTTCAGTTTCACAGAACTCTAGGGTCTCTTTCTTCTGCTGAATACCAGGGGTCTTTATGTTCCTCTTTGAAGATGCCCTAGAAGACCCTAGTAACTTCCAGTAAAAGGGCTGTTTAGATTCTCCAAAGCTTTGTTAAAATCCTACTATTTTAAAGTGTGGTTTTCAAAGGAAGATTGCCAACAATTTATTTATGAAAGCAGAGCTAAGGCAACTTAATCTAATCTGTATAAATCTTCCCCTCCATGGATTTGAGGT